CTATAACATATATCTATCCTAAAAAAAGAGAAAGAGCAAACATCAGCAGACCAAACGACAAGCAGAAAGTAGAACAAAACTATCACCCTTAACTACAAACCTGGAAGGATAATTAATTTCTCAGAAAGTTATAGAGCGGTACCACTATATATACTGCAGGAATCCAGTGTGGAATGCTGTGGATGAGATTCAGAGCACTAATTTTCTGGGTGCCACACTATATTCCCATTTCTCTTAGAGCATTTAACATGGTATTGTAAAACACGTTCCTACTACAATCTACCAACAGAAACAGAGGCTGTACATTGATGATCTTTTTCTCTACCAGCCAGACCATCACTACCTTGTAGAGGTTCATACATGTTGGATGAATGAAATCTAGAACACTAACAAAAGGGCAGGGTCCAGCTATACTGGAACAGTTTCTCTCCACTCTCCACATGTGATGACTAAGATGAATGAGTGATGTTAATGTCAGCTTCATTTTCTTCCACTTATGAGTTAATACCAAACAAACCAAGAAATCTAAGCAGCACTAAGCACTAATCAATGATTCTCCCTGCCTAACATGATGAGGTGATCTAAGTACAGTTTACTAGTATCACATGTACAAGGCCATGTTATAGAAAACTATGTACTATGTTATACATATCAGGAGACAAATATATTGGCAATGGCACTAGGTAGAGACCTATCAGTCTATTATGATTCCTGCAGAACAACTTCCTCCTTAAAAATCAATTAGTTTGACTATTAATTTGAAAAAGACAATGGAGGTGGCATTGAGTAGTAGAAAGAGTCCGTGGAGTCAGACCGACTTAAATTTGAAGCCTAGCTCTGTCTTCTAGATGTGTGATAATGGGGCTTTACCATCACAGATGAGTTTCCAGCTCTGGAAAACAGAAATTACAGTGCCTCAGAGGGCTGCAGTGATGATGAAATGAGAAAAAATATATAACTCGCCTGGCACATGGAAGGCAAGGAAGATGAGTATGTAAAAGGTATCTAAACATACCTATATGCTCAATAAACATATTTTAGCCACAGCTAAAATTCTTTCATTTTCTTGCAATAAGAACACCTGACTAATCTCACTGCTTTACAATGAGCCATTTGCATTAATTCTGTTCCTGATTACTTCTTTCATGTTTAAAAGTGTTCCTAAATTATTCCTTAAAGACAACTTGGATTTATTCTTAATAGAGCACATTTCCTCACATTAAACTTCTACTCATTTTCATTTTTAAACAGCTCTAACTTTTAACAGGATATGAAAGAGGCCAGGACCAAGGAATACAATCAAGTCTAAGGAATATACTTGGTATACCTGATATTAGCAAAGCAATCCAAGGTTAAAGGTGCAATATACTGCACCTCTTAAGCAGCCTCTGGAGACTATTACTTTTCCATGCCACATTTTTCTATTGCCTTTTTCATAAAAAAATACCTTTTAATCCAAGAAAATGAGTTACAGAAATGCAAAAGTTGTGCTTTCAAACTCAGAGCACTTCTGAAGGCCCCATATTTTTCCTCACAGGAATCCATTCCCCATTAACTGCCTTGCCACCCCATCATTTCTTCTTCTGGAATGCTCACAGACAGTGTCAAGGACTGATCACAGACAGCCTAGGCAAGCTGTAGCTGGTTCTTCTGCTCTGGTTGAAAGCAAAGAACACTCCTTTCTATTCAAATTTTGAAATCTTCAAGTCTACAAGTCAGTGACCATTTCTAAAACATGCGACATATGCTTGAAGTGCTATGGAAGATGTGAAAAAATATCAATGAACAGGGCTACTTCCTGTTTTTTGTATCTAACAAAATGGAGTTATTATAGTGTATTGGAAATCATATATTGAGGAATGTTGGTTAACCAGTCACCCTTGCCAAAATCAGATATGAAAAGAAAACAGAAGTTGGCAACAATTCTAGCTCTGATATTTCTCTTTCAGAATTATATTTAAAAGGTTAATCTTTGAAGAATGCATTAATTCTCTTACCTGATTTAAAACAGAACTTGGAGACAATTCATAACTCCAAAACTCACAAATTCAGGTAAGATTAACTTATATAACTACTTCTATTGTTTTATAAAATCGCCAACTTAATTTTTAAAAATTTATTTTTAGGTAATAATGTTCCTATACTTCCTCTAGTAAAAAAAAAAAATCACTAAATCATATTTTTAGCCTAGCAGCTTCTAAAAGGGAGTGAAAGCTGAGGGCTACATGAGAATATAAAAGCAGCCTATGAAACAGCTTTAGTTTTAAACAAAAACTAACATTAACAAGTACAGCATATCTTGTTCTTTCATGGGGCCAGCAAATTGATAGTTAGGTTTTTTAAGTTTCAAAAATAGGATGAAGTAATTATATCTACCAAACTCACAAAAGCCTGTTCAATGGAGAGTAACACTGTAATTTTTCTTCAAAGACAGTAAATAGGGAGAAAAAAGTCCCTAATTCTGTAATATGAGGAAAAATTCCAAACCCTTGGGCGCCACTTACAGGTACAAAGTTTTCACAGATTTCAGTTATTACCCTGAAGAAAGAGACAGACTTAAAATCTATTTTTAATGATTATTTATATAATTTATACTTCACAAATGTATCTTCTACACTTCCAATTTCTACAACCAAAGATTAAAAACTGATGAAAATTCTGAAATTAAAAAAATCATAGAATTTTCTTAAAAAATGCAACAGGTCTTTAGACAGGAGTCCTCAGACCCATACCACTACTGAAACATAAAAATAGTTTAAAAAATCTTTTAGATTTTCCTCCTGAAAATATGAATATAGCTATTGTCAAAAAAAAAAGTACAGATTTTAGTGTACTGCTTATAAGTGTTTATACCAATAGATTCAAATGAATTTCAACCCATTGATAAGGAAATTGGGGGAGAGGAGATCACTGTATTTCAAAAGATGGGGAATCGACATTTTACTAAAATCTTTAGGTATGACATCTGGGGTGAACGCATTAGCGCTCTGGCTAGTAAAATTCATTCTAAAAGATGATTATGCTGATTAGCTCATTATTTCATATACCATGCAATTATAATCCACCCCTAAAACAAAGGGGAGGGGGGAAGACCTAGATTATGAAATGCAAAACATTAAGCATAGAGTACTGTCTCTTCATTCTATCTGCCCCCACCTTAGTCCTCTTCTTCTGTGTGGAGACAACACTAAACAACTTCTATATATTACTTTTATAGTGGTTGCTCTTCTACTACATTCATAGCTTATTAACATGACTAGAATGCTGACACTAGCTAAATTACTTACTGTCTTCAAAAAGGTGGTCTCATGAGAATAGATAAAATTAATTTCTCAAATGTGAGGGTTAATATTTTTATCTGGAGTTCATTTGTAGTAACAATTGTCTTCAAAGATTCATTTTAGTGAAGTTTTAATCCAAAATGCACAGAAGCAAGAAAATGTAGAGAAACATAACTCTTGTAAGATTAAGTTACATGTACAAGTATACACAAAACTATCAGTCACAGATCTTCCTTCCTCTGAATATTGCCATGGCACAGTATATATCTTAGCGAATTTTTGGAGGGATGGGAGGAGCAATTGCCAAGCAATAAACTGTGATTTAAACAAATAACCAAGTTCGAAAAAAGTGCCAAATCACTTTAGAAAATTAACCAAAACAAACGATTCGTACTGTCAAATTCGTCTTACAAGGGAACGAACATGAGACGCAGTCTTCAACATACTCAGAATAAAGGCCAGGAACTCTACAGGTCAACGGGTGACTATCACAAAAACATTTCCAGCAACTCAAAATATCCATCAAGGCTGTTCTTTGCATACATTAGTTTGATTTTCAAAACAAGGATTACCGCTGTCACACTTAAAAGAGTTTCCTTTAACATAAAAAGTTCCAGTTGCCAAAATAGGGTCTGACCAAGAACCGTGGTCTGAGTTACCTTACACATACCGTACTGCACAGGCAGCACAGAACTATCTGAGCCGAAGCCCACTTGCACTGTGGCCCCTGGAATCCGGCAGTCCGCGGGCAGCCCGCGCAGCTGCACGGAGCAGGAAGCACCGCACCCGCGCCACGGTCTCCAGCCACGCCGGAGAGGCTGCGGGGAGCAGTCACCACCGCTTTGAAACTGAATGGCTGACACATCCGGTCCTGGCGCTTACACCACTCCGCCAAATGCAAACTTCAAAGGCCAAATTCAAACTCCAAACAGAAGTCACTCAAATCTTAGTGGTGCGGTCCGCAGTCTGAAGAACACTCGGAGCCCCCCGAGGGACGCAGTTAGAAACCCCCACGTCCTAAAAGATTGCAAGCCCCAGCGAGTCTGCAGCCCGTCCTACCGCACCACTTTGACAGGCGTTACTGAGCTGTCCACCCAGAGGCCCCAGCGGCCGGCCCCCAGTACCTGATGAGGGGCTCCGCCTGTCACGGCCCTGGGGACCTCCCCGCTTTCTTCTCCGCCCTCCGCCGCCCCCTCCCTGGCCTTGGGCTGGGGCTCCCCACCCGCCGCGCCCCTTTTTTGACCACCGCCTCCCTGCAAGCTCGGGCCTCACCCCCAGCGCCCCGGGAGATTCTCGTCTGGGGCCGCCGTCCTGAAGCCCGCCCCCCAGCCGGGCCGCGAGGGCAGCACCAGTGTCCCGCGCCAGGGCTCCTCCGAGAGCCCCGATTCCAAGAGCCCCACAAAGCCAGCCAGCCCGGGCCCCCACATCTTATCTCGATCCGTCCCCGCAGCGCGGCTCGCACGCCTGTCACATGTCTGCAAACAATAACAAACTCTTCGGCACGTCTCCGCCCCGAGCCCCTGTTCCATCCCCCAGGGCAGGTCCGGGGCGCCACCCGACGCCAGAGGGGTCAAAGGGGGTGCCCGAGGGCTCGGGTCCTGGAGAGCAGCTTTGCTGCGTGGGGCCCCGGGACGCCGTGCGCCGTGCTGGGATTTCATTCATTGCCCTCGTCCGTCCGTCCCCCCAGGTCCCCGCCGCGCCCCCGGCCGTGCTGCTCACCCAGCGGGGGCCGCTGCAGGAGGCAGCTCGGCGGCGGGCGTCCGCTTCTCTCTGGGATCAGCCCCCACGGGGCTTGGGGCGCCGCTGTCCGGTGCGGCCGCCGACTCGGGAGGTTGGGCGCCGCAGCGGCTCGCGGCTCCGTGAGGCTGCGGCATCGC